TACAATACTAAATCTGGCTTGCTACCAGAGGAAGGATCAGAAAATGATCACTTCTTGACACCCCTGCTCACTCATTTAATCACCTCTCTGATAATGCCCATTTTAAAGACAGAATAGTGAACACCTTATTTTAAATACGGTTTAGCTAACAAACGGGAGAAAACCCCATAAACCTCAATTTCAAGTCTTGCAACATGCATTGAACAGACCAGCAGAGGCAGCACTATTCTGATTCTGACAAGACATACGCACTTGAATTTGAATCCTTTGATGAACAGGGAGTGGAAAAAAAAACAACCAACAACGCATATGTGAAAAACAGCTGGTCACGATAACATTTAACTGTTCAACCTGTGAAGATGTCAAAAAGATTTTCATGTGTGAAGATTGAAGATTAGGGGGGGGGGGGGGGGGGGGGGGGTGCAAAGTCTCCAATATACAGTAGCCTAAAAAATGGCCAGAATCTATTGCCCCCAAAAATCTAACATGCATCACAGTCAAAAAAGTTTCATAATAAACCGCGCTCTCGTCAAAATAAATACAAGTCTTAGTACTACTAAGGGGGAATCTAAAGATGAATTATCGCAACAGGCCTACTAACTAACCTCACAAACGTCATGCTATGATATGACAAGTGATCATACATTAGTCTTGCACCATCCCAGATAAATCATGTACAAGAAGTTTTTAAATTCTTCAATATCAACAACAACAACAACAAAAAAGCAGTTAAACCTAAACTAAACTAACTTTATTACATGAGAGAATGGGAGTAAGTGCTATAAAATTGTCTTCACTGTATTGTTATTGTACCGATATATAATATTACAATTTCATGATTTTCCTGGAAAAATGATTTGCAGGTATGATAGAATCTAAAACAGTTCAACGTCACTCTCCGTCCTACGCTGAAACATTTTTTTTCCTAAATCTCTGTCAGTGTCTCAAAACTTGAAACTGTGATCACATTCAAAATGCAACAGACGAGAACAACATAAATGTTATAAATACAACAAAATAACATATAAACCAACACAGCATGCTTTTTCATGTTACTGTGACACATCTACAAAAATAGACATAGGAGTCAGCACATGACAAAATCAGTGGTTTACAAGAAGACACAGTCTTTGAATTAAGATAGGTTCTCAAATTAAATAAATCCACAATTTTTTTGCTTTGAGACTTGTACAAATAAATCTCATATTGCATTGAGGGATATAGCATCGTTGTGAAATCAGGTGCTCGTCAAAATAATAAAATTGAAGAAACCTAATTTTTCTACCCATTGGGCAATCTTTATCTTTTTTTTTCCCCGGCTCAATTAGATCAACATTTCGGAATGGATTTTGAGGAAAAACATTGGTGAAAAACACACAAAAAAGTTAATTTGCAGTTATCAAGGACACTCAAACTTTGGAAGTCACCACATTTTGATGCCTGTTTTCTCGTTCATTTTACCTCTGACTCCACGCAATCCTCACCCTCTTCAATTGCAAATATTTCGACTTCTATTCAAGAGACAGGCATTTTTTTTTCACCAAAAGCAAGAAAAATGTTTAAACTTTAAAAATGATACCAATAACTCTGTACATCCAACAATTAACGAGCGCCTGATTCCACCATGTCATGACAAATATATTTCAGCCTTCTTTTTTAAAAGTTTTAGTAGTTTTTACAACGCTCGCAACTGCATAAGGTCATATGAGCGCCAAGGGGCAGATGTCAACAGAGAAGTCTTTACAGGGAATCAGGCTTACTCTGCTGACCTCTCTAGCTTCAACAGCACAAAGTCTGCTTCAAATATCAAGGCACCCCGATAATAGAGGGTCACAAGAGAGTGACAAACATACAAAGGAAGTAGAGGAAAATGACGATAGTAAGGATTAGGGAAAAAAAAAGCAGTAGTTCCCTGTTGTAGTTCAGGCGCAGTTATGAGCACGACATTGATGAATCAGCCCATTTACAATTCTACTGTGCATAAGAACAGTGTCTTACAATCGTATTGATGAAAAACCTAATCTAATTTATCAGTTCTTAACAGGAATACATTTTGATTTGTATCTACCTTAATCAGTTCTTATGAGTAATATATTTAGATTTGAAACTACTTTTATCAGTTCTTAGTATCTCTACTTTTATGGAGAAGGGCAGAGGAAAATGCTTCCATGCCACCCTCCAAGAATCTTTACGAAACAACAGAGATGAACGAGCAAGTTACCATTTTTTTGTCATGTGCAGACATATATGTTTAACAAAAGTCTCAAGAAACAAAAATACAACCAACCCAAAATTGTAATATGTTACAAATGAAAATTTAAGCCAAAAAAGCAACAAAAGAAAAAGTCATAAAGCATAGTCAAGTAAAATTATCATTAGACAAAGGATATTGAAAGAAGCCCTAAGTAAACGCATGTGTGTGCCTGACAAAAGGGCCCTTGGGGACTTTCGTGGTCTAGAGGTTACAGTGTTCGCCTCTCATTTAACAGGTCCCAAGTTTGCAATCTCACAGCGACGGAAAATTTTCATCTCTACAATTTTCTCTTTTCACCTCCTTTCTTACTCTCTAACCATGTTGTCATTTGCTTTCATCTCTACTTTTTGCTGCCACCCCCCCCCCCACCCTCCCTTCCCCCTCCTCTGGGTTCATAACTCTTTCTGCAGCATTTCTACGGCTATTTCTTGACCCCTTCTTACTGTTGGCTTTCAGCCACACCCCTGATCTTAAGGTATGTAAGATCTAATACCTAGCCTTCTCGGAAAAGGGTGAAAAATCTTGGAGGTCCTATGTGCAGTTGTGCACGTTCAAGATCCCATGATGGTCAAAGATCGATATGAGTAGGCTTCAGCCGCCACCTGTGTAAAATTCAAAATTAATTCCTGCTAAACTGAAAATGTCTTATGTGTCCTGCGCGCTCATATGATCTTATGCTGTTGTGAGCGTCGTTCAACAGTTACCAAAACAAAAAACAAAAGGCCCTTATGGCAGCCAATTAAATTTCAAGCTCGGGACCTACAAAGGTGTAAAATGATCCTTAATCAAAAATAGTTTGTTGACTTAAAAACAAAAATTTAACTATTCCTAAACCATATTCAAACTGGATTAATGCAAATCTTTTTCTCAAAACCTACTTTCATTTTATATCTCACAAAACCTGGAACATCTCCAAAAGTATTCAAATATCTTAAGAATTAAAAAAAATTTTTTTAAAGGAGCTGATTCTGAACTGAAAAAACTTATGTGAAACCACCTTTATCTCAATTTTTAAAATTGCCGACACATGGGCCCTTATGTCAGGAAAAGACACAAAAAAGAACATGAAGAATTATTGGTTCTGTGTAAACACACAATCATACCACGCAATGCTAGTTGTTCATGTCAATATAATATGTCAACACACAAAAGTGTGCTTTAATACGTTCTTACACATTCCCCCTCTACATAAAGTAAAGCGACAACTGCTGACATAAAAACACATCTGTCTTAGTCACAGAGAAAGACAAGAAGAGAGTAGCTGAGCTAAGCTCACAAAACTTTGGATCAAATGATGCTTCCAGGAACAGGACCTCTTTGGTTAAGTTTTACTTTCAGTTAAATTAGTAAGAGTTTTAGAGCATTTGCAGCACAATAACTTCATATTAGTGCTAAAGATTAAAGGTGTTACAATAAAAGAGTAACAAAAAAAAAAAGAGCAGGCAGGAGGAGAGATAAGGGTGATAGATAGGAGAAAATGAGCAAACAACATAGGAGCACCCGATCAATTCCTCACTCTTTAGCTCAGAATGCCAAATACTGCTGACCACCAAAGTCAATACAGTCAGTCACAGATAACCCAAACACATGAGGGACTGACAGGAAATGTGTTTGGTCAACACATCCATAATTCAGGTCAACCAATAATGAGAAATTAAAGAGATATCAGTCAGGGAACAGTAAAATTGTACAAGCTATCCACGATTTCTAGTTTTCCATATTCATATTATATGTGCCAGACTGTACTTGAAACATCTACAATATCAAACACCTTCCTCTAACACAAAGAGAAAGAATCAAAATCGGCAACAAAGACCTAGGAAGTATCAGGAGAGATGAAGACAATGAATCCAATTTTCGACAAGGAAAACAACTCATAGCAAAATCCAGACACTCTCCAAAGTTCAGCAATCTCCAATACATTCCATTATGTTACAGATGGAAGGGGGAGCTTCATCTGAATTGAATTACACCAGATAACAGGTTTAGGAGAGTGACTTGTCATTGCTTCTACCAATCTACCTCTTTCACGAAAACCTATATTTAAATTACAAACAGTATTTTCTTTATATCTTGTTAGTATTATCAAATACATCAGAGATAACTTTGAGAAAGACTAACTCAAAGTACCATTCTATCATTTCTGAGAAAACAAATGGATTTCTAAATTTGGCTGCTGTTCTGCAGAAGTTTATAATAAATCTGTATGAAAATAACAGTCACTTTTAGTCGTGATGCAGATCAAGAACAATTAACACAAAAATGAAGTTGGAAGAGCTGGCCCCAATGGAGCCCCCCACCACCTCCAACCAACCACCCCCTTTTGAATAATAAAAAGGCCAAAGGTGTTACTGGATTATCAAAAGGGGTTAACACAGCCCTGAGATTTAAATTTAACAGGGTAAATTTGATATCACACAAAGAACATCAATGTGCAGACCTTTATGATTCAGCCGACTTATTAACTGCACTAGCAGTCTTCTGTTATCGCAATAACAAAAAATTTAATGGGTATGTCTGAATTATATCAATAAAATATATACGATTTATATACATACATATATATATATAATATATATATATATATATATATATATATATATATATATATATATCACATGTGCGTGTATGTGTGCTGTTTGTGTGTGTGTCAACAGTCGAACTTGCTCTAACGACTAGTTGTCAAAGACAATCTTCTGTACAAAAGACAACTTCCCACTTGCCCTCCACTTCCTTCATATTTTTCTTCGTTATAGTGACATTGTCCAAGAGGACCACTTGTCTAAGAGGACCACTTTTCTTCTCCTTGACAATAGGTCATCAACTTGATCAAGTTCGACTGTATATCCAATACATATAGGGTCATTCTGAAAGATTTAATATATGTAAAAACATATATATATGCATACATGGAATTGGGTTGAAAGGTTCCTCCTGGTGATATCAAATCTGCCCACTAAACAGGCACAGAGCATGATCAGATAAACTTATGAGTATTGCATGTACCTAAATCAGTGTCTGTTAAATCAACACCCATCTGACCTGTGGGGCACGTCTCTTCAAGGATTACAACAATGAATAGATAACAGTAGAGACATTCAACTAAAAAAATAATAATAATAATAAGTAAATAAAAACCGTGTCAATTTTAGTTGCAATAGTTACATCCTTATCATTTATTTAACTGTAACAGGACAGCTTAATTCAAATCCACAGCTGAGTATTATCATGTCACTTAGAGCGTGATATGTCAAATATGAGCATTGCAGCGGTTCCACTACATTTGCCGCACACTTCCAAAGAAAGCCACCTGAGTAAGAAGTCCTTGTCTGTTCTTCCTGAACTGTTCTTCTCCAGCCCCAACCATGATGCTACCTCTACAAACATTTACATCTTTGCTGTACATAACACAGATTACAAACCTTTCCCACCTCAGCCTTACTTCACTACTTCCACAATCACATCTGCATGTAAAAATGACTTAGATTCACTTCCAAAAATGAAATTTTTCTTTTTTTTTAAACCAAAAAAACATGTGCGACATACATCTCATCTGAACATCTCATACAGGAATAATGGATACAGTATCAGTCAACAAGGCTGAAAATACATGTCACCACATGAGCTCTTTTCTTACCATTTTTCACCTTGTCAAAACCGGCACTTGCATTCACGTAGGCCTACTTGTTTATTTCAAAGTTCTCATCAACTTTTTTGTGACGTTAATCCGTTCCTAATAGGAGAGATATATCTTGCTGTTTTAGTTAAATTCCAAAACCAAGAATAAAGAGTTTAAATGTGTTAGCACTCTGATATAGAACAGAGTTGAGTGAGTTTAAAGTTACAAAAGAACAAGAGATTAGATAGGTGATTTACACTTCTGATGTTATGGATCTCACAATATCCTTAACACGTTGTGTAAGAATATATTGCCCAAACAAGCTTGTCACATACACAGGAGGCAAGACAGCATTGTCTGTGCTTGTTGATGGGAGTGGTAATTCTTGCCCTGAGTACTGACAAACAAGATCGACATTTTCAGGTGACACTCTTGATTTTAAAAAAAAGAAAAGACAATTGGTACGTTTAACCCCAAGTTATTATAAAGCCAGAGTTTGTAAAAAGCCATAAATTGTTTAAGTTGTCATAAAGCATGGTGATAGAAAAGACAACAGGAAAAACAAAATCTCAAGAACAATAGAAGAGGTGAAAAATGGAACTCCATGTATGTTCTAACACCTTGTTCAGTCCTTTGTCAACAACAAGTAGCAATCTCTTATCTCCACTAAATAAACAACTGACATTTTGACAAATGTCTCTGTCCCCAAAAGAATTCAATGACAATATTAGTATGTTCGTGAAATCAACAGGATTTTAAAAAACATAAGCACCTCTATACCCAAAACTACATTATCGAAAACATTTTTTTCTCCCCAAACACTTGTGCAAAAACAAGTATTTTGATTTTCTAATGAATGATGAATGGTAAGTTGGTCTCTTATTTCAGAAGCTTTGTCTGGGGGGGGGGGGGGGGGGGTCGCTCCAAAAATTGAAGATAAATAGGGCTATCATTGAAATATGAAATCACAGGCAAACATTTTATGCAATAAAAAGGAAAAGTGCTTGCAACATCAAAATTACAGTATAGCTTTTGAAAATAAAGAGGTTTAAAAATGAATTGTTCAAGTGTAGAAATAGTTTTTCTAGTACTGATAGAATAAAATCTGATAAAAACTTTGTCCCTTTTAAGTAAACATTCTTGATATCCAAATATTGAGTAAAGCAAGATTGTCAATCAAAAATCAGAACCAGCAACATAGACACACTCGACCACAAGTCAACCAGACTCAGATATAGCAACCTGCCTTATTGACTTACCATGACAATGACTTAATAAATATGCAGAACTCTAAAAATAGAAATGTACATTACATAATACAAACAAACAAAATGTTACCTGAGACGAAATGCTTTTTGGCCATGACAATATACATCCACCCTCCAAGACACTGAGCATCACTTCACTCGAGGTTTCCCCAAGAGAGAATCTCACATGCCAGCACGGGCATTGCATTGATCAAAATGATGAAGAAACAAAAACAAACAAAAACCCAAGTTCAAGGACAGAAATGGCATTAATTTCCCACCCCATATCAACCGACCAACAAAAAGGCAACTCTGGCAATACTAGTGTGGTCCCAGAAGTGACACAGAGTTCTCTCCTCTCGTATCCTATGTCATGGAAAAATTATGCGACGCCAGTTTAACTTCTTCCCCAGCCACTCCTTCAAGCTTTTGCAACATCACCGTTGCCCACAGTCCCATTGGTAGCTGCGCCATTAGCAACGGATGGATTTTCAGTGATGTAGCAGGCATCCAGGAATGCTCTTGCAATCTCATTGACCAAGCTGCGATCAGGAATACTTTGAGCCATGCCATAAATAGCGCCCTGTGAAAAGAAAGGCATAACTTATAAGAGTCATCATCATCACTGCCTTTCTCACCCTGTACCCCCCTAAAAACAAACTTTCACCTTCCCCTATTGCGGACAAGCCTCTTGATATTATTCCATGTCTTCCCACTTTATGAGTGGACCTTATTGAAAATCTGGAACTTCTGGATGTGCAGTGCTTCCAACCAACAAAGCAGAAAAGTACGGAAAAATTCTACGCATGGGGTCTGGGGGCCACTGAGGCCGCCCACAGGGTCTGGGGACAGCTCCCAGTCCGGGTTCAGGCAGCAAAGGCCCCAGAAGAAATTGAAAGTTAGTGCTCTTAGAGAGTTGAAAATGGCCTTTGAAAGCCTGTTTCAAGAGACTGTCAACATCCCATGATACTTGTATTTATTTTCTCACCATGATTTTCTCTTGGTTTACACAGTGGCCAACTTTTAAAACAAACTCTACAGATACGGTGGGTCAAGATGAGAAGCACTCGTCAAGCATCCTTCCTCCAAACCCTCCACACACACGTTTTTACATTTAAAAAATTCAAGCAGTTCAAGTGGACCTGCAGAAAAAGATCTCTTCAGTTGGCCTGTGGGCTTCATTCTCATTATTATTCGCATATAGATATAAACTATGAAAAAGAGATTTTTATATATACAGTCGAACCTGTGTAAGACGGAATCACAAGGGAGCTTGAAAAAAATTCCGTCTTAGACATATTGCGTCTTAGACAGGGGAATTTAGGGGGGAGGTGGAGGTTGGGGAAGGGGGGGTTCAAAGGCCCAGCCGTGGGATCAAGGATCGCTTGTCCGATCGGCAAGCAGAGGTCAAAACTTCACACCTCTCAGCTGCTATCCTGTCTGATAGTGACATGTGTCAGTCTTACTTATCCAATTACCACCAGTGCTTGCCTTTCATAGGACCACTGTTTGACCTATTACAAACAGAAACGTTTGAACATCTTCTTGGCTTCCACCCTCAGTCCCACCCACCATTGCCACCCGTCACTGCCATCATGTAACAACGGTTCGAGGAACTCTTTTCTCTGCTGGCCATACGATCAGGGCGGCAGGCATTGGTCAATCTAATTTCACACCTCTGGCTTCTGGTTACCCAGGAGTTTCCGTAGTGGCTCGCTACTCGAGCGCTCTCACAGGCAGTCGTGAGATATCACACCCACACTACACTGACCATCTGCATCACTCAGGGCTCACATGATGGGGTAACTTCTACCCCCATTTCACCCCTACTCCCCTTCCTTGCCCAGCGGCATGGCCATGGCGTTAAGTTTAGAGCCGGCGGAACCAAACTTGCGAGTTTTGTTTCAAATCAGGGCGGAGCGGGCAAAGCATTTTCCGTCTTAGACAGGTGAAACCATCGGAAGGGAGCGGATTTTTCTTTCCGTTTCCACGTTGGACAGGTTTCCGTTTTATAAAGGTAATTAAAGAGGAATATATCAAGGGGGGAGCGAGGAGATTCCGATTAGACAGGTTTCCGTTTTACACAGGTTTCCGTTAAGGCAGGTTCGACTGTATTATATTTTCTATCAGCACAAACATCATTGTCATGGCTACCATGACGGATACAAACAAATCTATTCCTTACAGCTCCTCCACATTCTGCCTTGGGGTCCTTCATGATCACTGCCACACTCTCCACCACATCCTTCACAAAGGAGTCAGCAACTCCCGGCTGAGTGACAGGCAGCGTCACACACAAATGCAGACTGAAATGGAATGGAATGGTAAGTCGTCATTCAGAGGGAATGAAAAGACAAGCATAGAAAATGCACAAATCATAGACAATCAAAAGACAGGCATTGAGAATGTGAATATCTGGAATTATCCAACATCTTCATCATCTTCAAATGTCCTAGCATAAGACAATCACTATGAAAAATCTTTTATTTAAATTTTATCAGCAGTCCAAGCAACCTAAACAAAAAAAGCAATAGTTTAAAATTCAAACACTTTTAAACCAAATCATGGTAATCCAGCTCTTTGTAACAAAAGAAGCAGCGGATTATATTCATTCTATGTTTATGCAAGTTTCCACATAGCTCATGCAAAGAAAATTTGCTTCTGCAAAAAGATAAAAAACAAAACATACAAACCTAGAGGGAAACTGCAAGGAGTTCAGGTTCCAGCCCTTTTCTACCAAAGCATCAAAGAGTCGGAATACATTGAAATCGTCTGAGCCAATACCAACCACAGAGACCTCCGGTTCTCCAAAGACAAAGATTCCTTCAACAGCTTTCAACCTAAAGGAAAAGCCATTAGATAAATTAAAAATGTACACTCCATAGTACACAGCCTCTGAAACCAAGTTTAGTATATATAGAGTAAAATAATTGTTAACTGATGTGTCCAATTTTTAAAATCTTCTGTTACATTTCAAAATAAAAGCGGTAACAAGAAGGATCTTTTTGTATACATGGGGAGAACTACAAATGTAATTTCTTCAATACTTTCTTACGCTTTCTTACTCCATTGATGACATGTAGACATGAATATAAAAAGCACTACAGTGATGTCTACTTATAATGAGTCCTGAAATAACGAGAAGTCTGTTATAAAGACACTATTTTAAAACCCTGTTTTTTTCCCTTCTTTATCTTTGTAAATAAAATACTGCTATAGCACAATCAGATAAACGTGAGAGTCAGTTATAGCGGAATATTGCTGCTGCTGTGCACAGCACATAGGCCATTTATACATGTAAAACCTCGCCAGTTGAGAAACTTGTTGGTGATAAAGCGAAACAAAGAATGGGAGAGCCCATGTGTGCCAACAATGAAGGCCAGAGCGAATCAGTGGGGAGGGTGTGACAAGCCGTTGTGAAGCAGAACTCATTGCGTGATATGCCAGCCTAGTCTAGATTATCTAGGTCTACCATGCCTCTCACTTCTCCGATGCAGGGATGGAGAGGTTACAGTGATTTGGTGCGACGAGCCAAAGCTGACACGGAAACACACCACAGGGTGTGGTGGGGTGGGGGGAAAACACAGCGGACGAGTTAGCCTTGAGAACTTTCTTTCTGATCGCCAACGCCGAGCTATCAACATCGTTAACGCTAGAGAAAGAAACCTGATTCGATTTTTGATCAAATAAGACCAAGAGGTCATGCTGGGCAAAATCATCATCAGGGGAGATAACAAAAACAAAATAAACAGAACACCAAATTCATAGATTAGGCCTACTTTATCACTTCCTTTGAATTTATTGCTGGATCCCTTATAACGAGAATCTTGCTATTACGGACATTTCGTACCAGTTCCCCCCCCCCCCCCCCCTCGTTATAAAAGGATTCCACTGTAGTTTTTTTTTTTTTTTTTTTAAAGGAAAGTTTTAACATTTACATCCATCTGACTTGGACTGACATACTTACATGCTGTGACACTAACTTGAAACATGTAGGTCTAAAACAGGTTCAGTACATATGATACAAAGCAAGCCATACTTACTCACACACAGAAAGAGGTAAGACTTAGACAAAACTTGATATAATAATAGACTGCATTTATATAGCGCTCTATTCCATACACGTATAAGCTCTCAGCGCTTTAAATCGATGACATTCTTACTAAGAGTAATACATCATTCACACAGAAAAAAAAATTTCACATGAGTAAATCAATTCAACCACATAAGAAAAACTTTCTCAGCTGAGGATTGAACTCCAGACCTCTGGGTTGACGAGTGAACATCATACAAGTTGAGCTACTGAGCCCCCATATGACACAACATGCACTCCGCTATTAAAAAAACAAATAAGTTTTAAAAAACCACAATAACCAAGTACACACTTGCTGGAAATGTAGCGTGCTGTCGACACAATTCTGCGCGTGGAGTCCACGTAGCCCTCTTCTCCAAAGTGCATCATTGTGGCCCAACAAGCAGCGATGATGGCTCCTGCTCTGCTGCCTGGCAAAATCAAAAACATGTAAACAACACTGAATATATGTACAAAATCAAGGTGCAAAGAGTTCATTTTAACTCATTCGCTATGTATTATTTTCGGCTTGTGGACGGATTTTTTTCGGGGGGGCGAAATGAGATGATGACTAGTGGGCAGTTAAAAGGTCTTTGGGGCCACAAATTCAAATAAATACCAACGTATTATATACCAATATTTTCAGTATGGTTTGTAGAATACATCTGTAATGTTTATTTATGTATTTTTTAACTTTGGTTCCTGTAAGAGGCGATTATGCAACGCAATTTTGAATGGATGCGGATAAAATTTGAAAATAAAATATTACTAATCTTTGGTGAAACATGTTTGCACCTAGTCAAATGATACATCAAAATAACCATAAATAAATATAGAACTGGAAAATATTGAAAAGTTTGCTGTTATTTACATACAATCCATAATATTTGTACATTTGGATCATAACATCCGATATTGAAAAAAAAAAGTAAAATTTTATAATCTTGAAAAACGATCACAAACAGAAAAAAACCCACTCGTATGTTATGTGGAATTATTCAGAATTGCATTTGGAATAAACTAATACATGTCTTGAGTGGCACTTTTTGTGTAATTTCATCAAAAAGTAGTGATTTTGGTGAGAAAAAAATATTTTGACAATTTAGATCTAGACCTAGATCTATATCTAGATCTAGCACTCAAAAATATTGATTTCTCAATAACAGTGCAATGGCAATATGAGTCCAATTGTATCAATATTATAAAAAAGTCAAACATTTCTTTAGTGGGCAAAATAATTATAGATTTTGTAGTGTAAAATTACTAAGACTGGTGTCGGGGCTATAATTTTGGCATCGCGATAAAACAAAGTCGAATAAACTACGAAATCGCGTTTCAAAACTGAATCTAAATTTCCGATGTTCAGTGGAAATGCTTGACCCAGAAGTCAACATTATATTATGACCTTTATTTTAACATGGATATGTGGATTGGAAGAGAATCTGAGCTAAAATTGAAGATTGGTTCTCGAGCCGCCGAGGGCAGCTTAGCGTACTGACGGCACTTTAGCCGTGCCGCCCCCCCACGGCTCGGCGTAGCGAATGAGTTAAAAAAGCTAAAAAACACTGAACATTTAAACAAAATCAAGACACAGCGGACATGTAAAATTGGAAAAAAATTAACAAAATTTAAGAAATAATGCTATGCCATAATTAAGTTACATACAACAACTATTTTAAACTACAAAAAGCCAAAATTTTAAATCCTGATTAATTCAAAACAATGGTCATGGCACTTCAAACAATTTTGTTTTCATAAGTCAATATATTCAATCTAAATATTCCACTACCCTAACAAAAGAAGAAAAAAAATTGATAATTTAACAACCTGCAAAAGTGGGTGAGGCGTAGATGCCACCTGTCCAGTCAGGCTGCACAAAGAACTGGCGAGATCTCAACTCTTTGTTGCGATACATTATCACAGAAGAACCCTTGGGAGCAAAGCCGTACTGTGGACAAGAACATAAACATCCCAGTCAACAAGGAACAAGAACAAAAGGATTGGGGTTTCTTTGGAGTCTTTTGTGTAAGCATCTACCACCTTGCTCTGTGTGTGTGTGTGTGTGTGTGTGTGAGAGAGAGAGAGAGAGAGAGAGAGAGAGAGAGAGAGAGAGAGAGAGAGAGAGAGAGAGAGAGAGAGAGAGAGAGAGAGACAGAGAGAGACAGAGACAGAGATAGAGGGAGAGAGATAGAGGGAGAGAGAGAGAGGGAGGGAGGGAGAGAGAGAGAGGGAGGGAGGGAGAGAGAGAGAGGGAGGGAGGGAGAGAGAGAGAGAAAGAGAGATAGTATAGTATAGGGTTTTACGGCGCTCGCAAAGAGAAAGAGAGAGAGTGGGAACGAAGGAAGAAGAGATGTAGAGAGGGGGAAACTTTGTCGATGGGGGCATAAAAATACTTGCATTAAAAAAAACAGAAAAAGGGAGAGCGTTTAGTTTTAGTAGAGGTTTTACGGCGCTCGCAACTGCATAAGGTCATATGAGCGCCAAAAGATTAGAGGTGTTACAAGAGAGTAACAAACATAATAAAGAAGAAGGGGAGATAAGGATGATAGATGTTTGATAGGAAAGAAGAAGCAAACCACACCAGAGCACCCGCAAACCACCCACAAAGAGAGAGAGAGAAAGACAGACAGACAGATAGAGAAAGAGAAAGAAAAACAGACAGACAGACAGACTAGTCTGTAGTAAGCAGCAAGGTAATAATAATTTTTGCCTAGCCTCTCTACATCAAGATTTTTAAAGGATTTTCACACGAACAAAAGGAGGAATAACAAGAAATGAAGAAGCAGATCCCACAGTAAAGCCCAAAAGACTAACAACCCATCTATCTTAATGGAGCCATATTACCTAAGGTATGTCATCCTCCTTCCCCCCACCCTCAACAATATCCACATACGATCTGGAAGTTAGAGCCATTTTGACCTAAACTTCACCAGCATCCCCCCCCCCCCCCCCCACACACACACACACTCCCCAAATAAAGTCCTAACCTTGAGAGCATAAGTTGATATACTGGTCACAGCACTAACACCTCCCCCCCCAAAAAAAAACACACACGCACACTCTGACACTGTTTCAGAAAGAGTTTTATGGCACTTACAACCAACTTGGGTCCAATAAGTGCAGAAGATTAGATGTGTTAAAAGAGTAACAAAAACAAAAAACAGAAAAAGAAAGAGGAAAGACAAGGACGACAGATGTTTGATATCAAAGGAGAGAACCACCACACCAGTGCACCCGCCAACCACCCACATTCAGACACACGAACCAAGGTCTTAACTTGTGAGTATCAAGTGATACACTGGTCACACATACACACACACACACACACACACACACCCCCCCACACACACACACACACTCATACACAGCAACCAAGGTCCTGTCCTAACCTTGTGAGTATCGGCTGATATACTGGTCACACCAGGCACACGGAAGTCAAATGGCTTCAATGGAAAGCCAGCTTTATCCATGAATGGCAAGAGGAAGCCTCCAAGACAACAGTCCACATGCACAGGGATGCCATATTTCTCTCCAAGCTGTGGACACAAACCACAACCAAATAAAAACTACTATAGTTCACACAAAAAAGGAAAAGAAAAAAAAAAGAAAGAAAGGGAGGATGGATGGATTGGGGGGGGGGGGTGCGGCTAAACATTGTGTAGACCACATCATGCATGGTAGCATATTGACGCTTCACAGTTAACAACGTAATCTCAGCCAAAAAAATTAGTAATTATATGAGCACTGTGCCCCCTTTCCATATTGTTAGGTTATATAAAAGGCACAACCTTCGAATACAACATTCACCTCTAACAGGAGTGAGCCAAGTCACAAGTCAGCGGAGTGACTCGAAAACTCTCTAAAAGCTCAGAGGTGACAATAGGCTACAGAAAAAAAAACCTGAACTGTTCAGAAGCTTTAGAAACGCACGCACAAAGGCAAAAAATTCATAAATCATATTTGTTTAATATATCTTGAATTTAAAAGTCCAGCAAAATGAGGATAGTTTCAGAAATCTGCATTTCCGGATTTATCTGGAAACTTGACACCTCTGTAATTAGCCCAGGTTCAAGAAAGTCCCAATGGGAATTCACAGTAGGGTCATCCCCACAATAACCCAGCATGATACCAACTGAGTTAACGGCATATCTTCAGCCAATGTGAGAGCTAAAAGTCTAGAAATCATTGGACAGAAAAGAAATATGATCTACTTGTCATCCATTGACCTTCTACTATAGCACACAAATTACTGCAATCAATGCTTTGTAGCACACAAGAAACAAAACAAATTTGTATTGCTACTGTCACTACAACAGTACAAAGAAAACTGTTCTTACCCCAGCAAACTCAAACAGATGATACAAAACTGACAAATTAATTAGTTACCCATGCTCATTTCCAATAATTAGACCTGCATGTGAGCCTCAACCAGATTGTCTGAAAATTTGGCGCCCTCCCTCTGAGCTTTTGTGGGTGTCACAATAGGACTTCCGAATAACGAGCGACCATCCCAACAAACACAATGAAGAAGAGACCTAGATCTAACCCTAACCCTACTCCAAAATAGAACCTGCAACAGCCCTCATGTAAAACGTCCAGCACAAGTCCAAAACGAAAAAAACAACCCCCCTCCCCCCCCAAAAAAAAAAACCCCACACTCCAAAACAAACAAAGAGCATAAATAATATGGCCTACATTGCTACATAATTGGGTTTGATACAATAACGCAATAGAAATGGAATCCTCCATATAGATCTAGATCTAATCTAGATCTATAGATCTAGAATCTAGTAATCTAAATAAATCTAGATCAAGGGGTGAATAGGAATAGATCTAGACCTTAAACAAGAAATCCGTATCCGAATCCAAACAGAGGGACTCAGCTGAGTCTAGAGATTTAGATATTCTAGATAGATTCTAAATAAAAATTCGCATTAATAATAATAATAAATAATGGATTGCATTTATATAGCGCATATCCACTTATGCAATGCTCTATGCGCTTAACATGATACATATTATGGATTTACAAATCAATTTTAAAGGTACATAGTGTTACATACTCATGCAAACACATATTCACTCACACACGCACCACACACACATACGTACATATGCACATACGCACATACAAACTCACAACGATCTACAGCTCGGATGCCTTCTGTCTAATCGAAATATGATGAAAATAGAAATGATTTTAGTTTCTTCTTAAAAATTTCTAGATTTTCTGCTTCTCTGATAGTTTTTGGAAGCCTATTCCAAACAAGTGGAGCAAAATATGAAAAAGAGCGTTGGCCATATGATTTGTAATTTATTTTAGGCACAACAAGGGTTGTTTTGTAACTTGATGATCTGAGCGTTCTAGGAGGCACATAGGGTGTTAAAAGCTGTTCACGCACTTGATGAAATGAATGCTTTTTACCAACATTCATTAATATTACAGCACAACCTATGATAGGGTTTGACACAATAGAATTGGAATATGAATCCTCCATTGAGGCCAATAATGATCTATAAATCTAGATCTAGATCTAGTAGAACAAGTGAGTCGGACTTGAATGAATCCACTGTTCACATGATCTGAACAATCAGTCAACAGACGAAATTCAAAATAGCCGCTCAAGCACGAAACTGAAATTAGATAATTTAAGTTGTCGTCCATTTTCGTATTCGTATTTGTACTCAGGTTTATGTCGGAAACGCTGGAAGAAAAAGGGGGCGCTGGCAGTCGGCAAGGCCTCGCACTTCGCACATTGACTAATACAGGTGGGCGTAGCGATAGCATCTGCCGGCTCGCAGGTCGGGTTGCAACTGTCGGATTTCAGACAATTGTTGGCAAACATGCAGGTCTAAATAATCTTAGACACACAGCCACAATACATACTACTCCTTCTTAAAACTTCAAAAAATCTTTTTAACGATGATAGATAACACAAGTTATACATTGTGTCCTCACCTATTACTTATATGATAAAGAGCTCTGCTCTCAAAGCATGTGTCAATCATTCAAGCTTACAATGTCACAGCAAAGGTCATTCGCACTTGTCTTATCACATCTTGCCCATCCAGAGATAAAGAAAGTTCTTGTTTTATTATGTGCGATGGTATGCAGCCACCATAATCATTTCTACCTCTACTATAACATGTTATCAATACAAAAAATGTAATCTTACTTTTAAAAATGGAGATGAAAATATAAAACTTAATAGATTTGTGAACTCTCTTTTAGCAATATCTATTTATCGAAATCTCTTTGATAACATCCTCCCAATCTGCAATCACCAATAATGAGATTATTCTCACAAGAACAAAAAATTAATATATCTATTTGCATCTCATTTACTGATAAACATTACAATTCATACGTTAGATACCCCAAATGACCATCATCAGACTGTCTCTGAAGTAAAAGAGTAACCAACTGGGCCGTATATTTTCAGACGCGCTGCTAAATAGAGAAATAGAAGAAAAAGTGAAAAGGCTTCTGCACCAAGTCACAAACTGATCCCTTTACTAGGAAAGCTGAGCCGATGTATACAGTCTAACACGCACACACACATCAAAATCAGTGAAACACTCATCTTTTCTTTATGGTCGAATTTTGTGATGAACGTGTTTTAAATACAAAGAATATACATGTAATAGAAAAAATTTGGGACCCGAAAATCGGTTCGATACGTGCGTGTTTTGTTATGTGTGGCTAGACTGTAGTTTAGTCTGAACCAAAAAAGAAACACCCGAGACCAGGTAAATTTGTTTCAATCAGTTTAACAAAAGCACATGACATTCAAATAACTCCAAACGCCTTCCTTACCTTTGCCACTTCTTGAACTGGGTCAATGATGCCATGAGGGAACTGTGGAGCTGATGCCACCAGCTGGTAGGTACATGAGTGGAGGGAAAGTACATACATTATGTCAAGACATGAATACCACATCCTTTTCAGTTTTAGTAAGAGTCAAAATCAGTTCATATAAGTGCTGAAGATTAGAATTGTTACTAGAGTGTAACATACAAATAAAAGAGGGAGGAAAAAGGCAAGGACGATAGACGTCCTTTAGGAAAGAAGGAGCAAACCACATCAAAGCACCCGTCAACCACCCACACACCACAACCTTGGATCTGTTGCAAGGCATAAAACCTGCAGAGCTTTTAAAACAAAATAATTATAACATTTGGATTGCAACAGATCTTTTTATACAATATGGAAACATTTTGATCCATAAAAATCTGATATGTAACATGCCCACGGTAAATAACTAGTAAATTCAATAGTAAAAAATTCTAAGATTAAAAATCTTAGTAACTCTTGCTCATCTTCAATAACTCTACAGGTGAGAGTCGAGTTTTTACGGCGGTCGTAACTGCACACTATCAAGGCACCCTGGGAAAGGAGAGTCACAAGAGTGTGACAAACATAAAAAAGAAGTAGAGGAAAATGACCACAGTAAGGATTAGGAATGAAAAAGCAGCAGTTCCCTGTTGCAGTTCAGGCACAGTTATGAGCATGACATTGATGAATCAGCCCATTTACAATTCTACTGTGCATAAGAACATATTAATGTCCCCCCTTTGGGAATGGCCTAAAGACACTTCAGTCAGTAGAACCGCTGCGGGGGGAGGGTTTATCTTTTAAAAATTGAAAGTCCCCTTTATTGTCAAGAGTACAGATAGTAGACGTGAGAAGACAACACAAAATTCACAGCCTTAGCTGTTTCATTGCACACTCTCTCTTACCATCAAGACTATGATGTTTACTAGCAATACACAGTGGAACCTGTACAAGACATGACAACCCTAGCTAAAAAAACAGGGCGTTGCACAGTGGCAACCAGCAAGGGCATGTTTGTGAAATGTTTCTGCATTGGTGTATTTATGGAAGTATATATTTGTAATCATGTATTTACATATGTATATTTGCCATTGTAACTCAAACTTTCCCACAGGGATCACTAAAATTAAATGTAATTTATTTTAAATCATTAATATTTATTTACTACAGAATCTTCCTGTTTTTGTCACACTGGAATATATTTGTCCTTATTTCATGAAGTTCTAATGTAAGCCATTTTCTCCACTGCTGTTGTGTAGATGGGTAGTAATGTCCAGATGGGTGGTTGGCAGGCGATTTAGTGTGGTTTGCTACTTCTTTCCTGTCAAACATCTAATATTCGGGTCTCTCCACCCTTTTCTGTACGTTACATTCTCGTAACACCTCTAATCTTCGGCACTTATATGACCTGTTTGTGTTGCACGAACCACAAACCTCTTACTAAAGACTAAATGCGTAATTTTCTGTATGACCTGTTTTGGTTGCAAGGGCCACCTCCACAAGGAGCACCCCAGATAACAGAAGCACTTAAAGAAATATAAGTGGCAGACCTCACAGAAATGTCTACCAACAACCCACAGTACCATCATACAAGTAGATTTTGTCTAGACATAACAGGACAGAGCAAATGCAACTTACGGTCTGATTTTATGTTGGTGTTCTTGTTTTCACCCTACTCTACTACAATGCATAAACACACAAGTGCCAACATACAGATTACCAACCACACATGTCTTCCTGCTAATGGCTCTCTTCATAGCTGCTATGTCAACCATGCGAGTCTTTTCGTCCACCGGAATGTGAGTTATTTTCATGTGAAAGTAACTGGCGCCCTGAAGAGAAATGCAACAAGACCAAAATCAAATATACACTTTTAAAAATAAAATAACAATGTTGCACATATCTACAACCCTCGTAAGTTCTATACACTTAACAACTAGAGAACACTCAAAACCATTTTTGACTTCTCTGGAGCTGCAGATTTCATATGCTAAAACACTAGCAAAGTAAGTAAAACACTAACAAACTGACAAGATTTTTCGCTGTCTATAACCAGGTACCACTTCCCACCTGAGTGAAATGAAGAAAATTGGTATGAAGTGCCTTTCCCAAGGACACAACATCAGCCTTGACAGGATTTGAACCCACGATGGTTGAGAGTCCGAGAGCAAATATATGAACATAATTTAATATTCCAACAAACTTTATTTTTTTTACAAAAACTGAACAAATCAGGTCAGCTACTGTTATCCATTTGCCTCATCATTCTTCAATATGACACATCATAGACATAAAAAGGTTAAAAAAACCCCAATATTCAGATCAAAGTTGTTGCTGCTGTTAAATTGTGTGGTTTTCCGCAAAAGGGCACGATAACAGTCATATTTTACAAATAAACAGACTACACCAACAACAACACTGAAAAAATAAAACACGAGAAGCAGACAAATTGAGGGCACCCATAAACACTCGACAGTTCCTGTCATGAAGCCACACTCCACACAAACAGCCACATTACACCAGTTAAATCTTCACACTAAAAATTATCCAATAATGGGCAGCTAGATCGTAAAACAGAAAGAAGAGCAAAGAGGCTTATGCAGCAAGTCACAAACTGAAGAAAATTCAGTCGAACTTGCCCAAGGCAACAACCCATTTTTGAGGAGCGAAATGGTCGTCTTAGACAAGTGGTAGTCTTGGACAGGATCATTATACTATAGAAAAGATGTAAGGGGGCAAATGGGAAAATTGTCGTTTGTACAGGTGGTTGTTTTGAACTGGCGGTCGCTAAAGCAGGTTCAGCCTTGTCCCCCCCCCCCCCCCTCCAAATCAGTAGGACATATCCTTCAATAGCAACTCTAAAACTGACATCACTACCAGTCAAAGCAAGATAAACCCTAAATATAAAGGCACAGAGAGACATCACATGTCATACCTTGTCAAAAGCTGCATGGACTGTGACCGGCACAATGCTGGAAAATAAAACAATAATCAAATAAGTACATCTCATAACAGGCAATGCACACTTTGATTTTTCTTCCAGTGAGCTTATACATCACATAATTAGGGATGATCTGATCCTAAAGATTGTTTTTACACAGGTATTACAGCTACATCAAGAAATAAATCTCCATATAATAAGGACCAATAAAGCGCTTTTCTGCTTCTCTGATTTTGTATCTGGCTTAACACAATCATTGTTAATAATAATTGCTTGTATGTTATGCATGTGAATGTGAGTCTGTTTAAGAGCCAAAGCATTCTATCATACTATTATGTTCATGTGTACAGATGTGTGTTACAGAGAATGGGTGTGCGCGTGCGTGCATGCATGTGTGATGAAACAAAACCTATGGGCAAGCATCTAGATAATAAAGATGTATCTTATCTTATAAATTCTTTTGTATGCTTCATCTTCTTTTTGTATGCTTTTTCTAATGCTGAAGCAAAGCTTCTTTTTCATGTTTCTTACTCTCTTTGTTGCATCTCTAATCTTTGGCACTTATATGATCTAACTGAGTTGCAAGTACCATAAGACTCTTCCTAAAACATATAACAAAAATAGTAGGAAATTGCGACCATCACTCACATTTCAGGAATTTTGATTCCACGATCTCGGGCCATGTTCCTGTACGCTAGCAAGGCCAACATTATACTCTCCGTGCCCCCTGAGGTGACAGCCCCACAGGTCTCCTCATCCCCGTTGAACATTGAGCAGCACATACGCACAACCTCCGCCTCCATTTTTCTCACATCCGGAAAGACATCTGGGTGAAGTGGGTTGGCCCAAGCAAACATGCCATATGTCTAAATCAGAGAAGAAAGACATTTTTTTCTTTTGTGGTTCCCTCCAGTACTGTACTTTCTTCTTGGATTTAGAACACTGCAAAATTATTGACATTTTTTGTTTGTTTGTTGTTTATTAACTACACTTTTGAGTTCGTGAGAGTATGCAGAAAATCTGAAAATCCTTTGCCCATATAGCAATACAAGAGTAGTAATTGTGACACCAAGAAGAAATGTTCATTCTGTTGTTATTTAATTTCACTTATAAGCCATGTGTTTGCCCATATGGTCACCATGTTATGTGTGAGCAGTGAGGGTACTGTGCTGCAGGGTGTAACAGAAGCACAGAGAAATAAGGACAGACCTATATCATACACTGAAAATATAAAATCCGACAGTGGTCTACAACTTTAACTCCCAATCTCCAATGCCGGACCCTATTAACATATATATCACTTAATCATTAAATCAAAATAAGTGAGCCTATTTTGATAGTAATTATTCATATAATGAATGATATCCTGGTAAAAGAGACATGTTTTTGGCAATTGCCAATAAGTAATTTGATGTTGAAGTCGTTGTAAAGGAATGCGCCTGAGCGCTGCCAGCGGCTCACTAGTTCCGACCGCAAGCCGCAGGGAGCCGCTTGCCGGAGATAAAGAGTTAATACATCAAAGCAGAGATGGAGGCCTGTTGAAGTAAGGAATGGGGTACCAACAGACAAATACGGCCATTAAGCCAGGCGACACGGTTTGGAGGGGGGGGGGGCCACAGAGAGGGAGAGAGACAGAGAGTTACTATACACCTTTTCTCATGTCAGTATCTTTTTCTATTAAACGAAAAAATCTAAATTTACAAACAATCATAGCTCAAAGAACATTGTGGGCTTTTAGCTACAGATCTTGATCTGACAGCTGGGAGCGCAAAACTTACACTCTAGTCCTGAGGCCAAAAGGACATTATAATGCAGATGCAAATGTACTAGTGGTGGCACTATATATGCCAGGCTAACTGCAATTTAAAGCATTACACATAATCTAGGTGAAATGTTTATCACCAGCCCAACCATTCATCAGCTTACGTAGTAATACAACATATGTGGCACACAAGGTGAAAGCAGATTAGATTTCACTCTACACAAACACTATCCCTAAAAAGTAGGGGTGGGCACGAGACGAGCCGAGTACTCGTTTCTCGTGAGAAATGCCCTTCCCGTCGCTGCCCGAGCACTAAACTACTGCTCAGTACCGAGACGTGATACTGCTCCTTGGTTTGACATAACGAGTAACAGTAACGAGAGTGAGAGGCAAGAAATGACAGCGCAGACAGTGCCACCCATCACCGTGCTGTCCTGTGTGTGAAACTGAAAGGGAGGGGAGAGGGTGGTGAGACGAGGCGAGTGAGGAGTTGATCAGAGCCTAGGCCTAGGTCGTCTCCCTACTTTCCTTCACCGCCTGCGCCTGTGCACCAGGGCAATTCTAAGTTTAGATCCCCGCAACGACCGGCCTTCCCGCTAAACGAGTTGCTCGTTCTGTGGGGCGAGAAGAGAAATCTAGGCCACGGCCGGCCTTCTCACTGAACGAGCGGCTCAAACTGCGGGGCGAGAAGAGAAATTGGTGACGAGACGAGAAGCATTGCTCGAGACACGAGACGGGAAGTATTTCTCGTTCCCGGGACCGGTCTCGGCGAGAAGTAGGTCAGCTTCTCGGTCTTCTCGCTCGGGAAGGAAAAAGCGCTTCCCGCCCGTCTCTACCAAAAAAGGAAGAAAAAAAAAAGAGCAGATTTTTCCCAAAGGATTCCCTTTCACTGTTTACAGTGAATTAAGTGAATTAATACCCTCACTATAAAATCATTCAGATATTCTCCACCACAATAGCAAAAGGATAGCAACAGCTGCTATTGAATTATTTTTTAATAGCGAGTAAAAGCTATGAACAGTTCATTTGACAACAATACATCCCTAACAAAGCCTAATGTGGAACAGAATTAATTTGAATTCATGAACAATGGACACTTACTTAAACAGGAATCATAATAACCATGGGCTACTTTCAATGTTTGAAAAAGACACAATAGCTTGTTCTGAACACAAAGAAATCTATCCATACTTTGTTTTGTATAAGATAAGGCTTGCTACAACTTAGAACAGATAGATGATTTAAAGCTAGCTTTATTCGGCTATTCCTTTGAAGTAAGTCACCACATTACTCTATATATAAAAAATTTGAATCCCCATCATGCCATAGGCACCATTGATCCCATCTATCACCCATGAGGCACAGACTTGAGGAGCAACTTGCAACTAGTCTAAGTCTGTACTTGCGTGCCATAAAGCTATGGGGTTGAGTACACTTCACAGATTATTTCTGGAGAAGAGAAGCCCGACAAACATTTTTGCAACCGCTATAATAGGAAAATTCCATACTAGGGTCTCATCAACCCAATTTGAGTTCAGGACAAAAAAAAGTGGAGCTATTTTTCATCCCTTTACTGATTGTTTATCCATTTTCTCCCAATAAAAGGATAACGCAGATTTTTAAAATATCCGTGCTCCAGTAAATTTACCCTCACCTTAGCCATGAGCTCAGTGAGTTTGTCATCTCCACTGTACACTGTTCCTGACACCATTCCTTTCTTCCAAGTATTATTTGCTGAAATATACCAAAAAGCAAACAAATGGCTAGTCCAGTCAGTAACAATATTAACCTTCTCAATTACTAGCCCAGTCACTGGTGTCAGTTACTGGCAGTGTCCATAGTGTATGGTTGTAAAATCAATAATAACAGCGTCACAGCTTTTCCCCTCTCGGTAATAATTTTTATTGCCCTTACATTATTGGCAATTATAATGAAACATTTTCTAATAATTGTAATTGCACGGGTGGAAACAGAAGAGACAATGCATCTTTTAAAATGTACTTACAAACATTGCTTCAATCAATTAAAAACAAAATAAAAACAGTTTTGTTTTGGTAAAAGTTGAACGTTACTTGCAATACAAAAAGATAATATAAGTGTTTGTTTTAGTAGGTTTTGCGGCGCTTGCAACTGCATAAGGTCATATGAGCGCCAAGGGGTGGATGTCAACAGAGAAGTCCTTACAGAGAATCAGACTTACTCTGCTCACCTCTCTAGCTTCAACAGCACAAAATCTGCTTCGACTCTAAAAGATGTAGAGGAAAATGACAATAGTAAGGATTCGGAAAGAAAAAGCAGCAGTTCCCTGTTGCAATTCAGGCACAGTTATGAGCATGACATCTATGAATCATCCCATTTACAATTCTACTGTGCCTAAGAACAGGTTAATATCCCCCCTTTGGGAATGGCCTAAACAAACTTCAGTCAGTAGCACCGCCCCAAGGGGTAGGTAATATAAGGGTGGAAGATTAGGGATTACCAGATAGTAAATAACAAAGAGGATACGGAAGAGAGGTAATGATGATAGATCTTTGATAGGAAAACAGGAGCAAACCAAACCAGAGCACCCACCAACCACCTACAAAATTCACCAGCATTACACAAACCCAAAAGCACTAATATTATAAGAAAAAAGGCCCTCACTCATTTTCTTGTACCTTCCAAGCACTTCCATAAGTTCAGCCTAAAAAGACAAAAATGTAACAAAGATAAAAGTCAGTTCTGCATGACTATGGTATCAAATACAAGCGGACTGGAGAAAAAAAGAAAAAATTTATCTTAAACAAAAACAAAGAAGCGTACAAATAATTTTTTTTTTAATTTTCAAAAAAAGAACCACTTCCCAATGCTCACACCAACTCTCCAACACTGAGGACGTGTAAAACCTGCATCTACATAACCTGAGACAATCCACTGTCACTCTTGCACATAAATTGATTACATCTGTGTTACCAAAGCCGTGTCAGAGTAATGGGATATAATAATTATATGCAAACGTTAAAATAGCTGGTGTCATCATCACAGAAATAGAAACCCATCTGAAGAACAACATTAAAATGAGAATGTGCTCAAGTCAATGTGTATCTCTAGAGTACAAGCACCTTAAAAAACTAGTGTATAATAAAATATTGTGCAGATCATTGTGGAAGACTGACTTATTCCAGCCAGATCTTATGTCATACAGATTTAATGATATGTACAGTGCAAAAGGTTGAAACACTGTATTGTTTCACAAATTGATGCCATGTCTTGAGAGGGAACACAGTGTTCAGACAAGGACTATTGTATCGTGTCAGTACTCGAGTGATAAGGCTACCGGACTCGCGATCGTGAGGTAACGGACTCGAGGGGTTCAGCCTCAGGACCAACGTTTTGTCCTTGGTGGGAAAGGCACTTTACAGAAATGTTCCTCACTTCACCCTTGTCAGCATGTTAGCATTATTGTTCCTATAAAATGGTAGTAAGCATTGTATGCTTCTCAGAAAGTTTAGATTGTTTCTGAATGGTTTCAGGTGTGATGGGGTAATAATATAGATTGTTAAGCGTAGAGCTTGCTGTTGAGCGGGAATTTGTGCAATACAAATGCTTTTCATTGCTGCATGTATTATTATGTAAACAATGGCACAGGGTACAGAATTAAAAAGAAAGTTCATGTTATGAATCTGCTCACAAGCAGAATTCACATGGAATCTTCTTTTATGTTGAGGACAAATGTTACATAGTAAACTATTCTTCTATAAAGTTGCTTGGTATTAATTGTATCAAGGTTGATCTTGTGCAAATATGAGAATGTTATTTTATTCACTACCACTGTGTTTATTTGCCTGTGTGTGCGGGGCATGAGAACGGAAATGATAATATAATGTCAATTTTGAACAATCCACCAAAGGTCTAAAGTACAATCATAAAAGTGTTTATGGTCAAGGGTCTAGTGCTATAAAAATTATGAATGAACTATAGAGGTCATGTACACTGTCTAAAGCTGCATTCCCAACACCACTCAAATCAGTGACCCCTATCAACAGTCACGACTAAATTACTGAACAAAAGATACGTTGCCCAAATATACCCCCCCCCTTCAAATTTTCCAATAAATAATCCTAAAGATACTGCATATCACTACAAAGACAAAAGTGAGACAGCGATATTAAGACAACCTCTTAACACAATGACCATTCATAACACCATTCAGTCCCTCTGACATGACTTTCTCAGCTGTAAAATGCACATACAGCAGGTTATATACTTAAACAGAAGCCTCACATGGTACATTAAGTATGTGAGAGGGCTAAGGACACTGAGTACACTTGAACCCTTAGCCTTGCAATCCAAGGAGACAAAGGCAGATGACTGCCCCCTTTTATGCAATGTACTACGACTGCTCTGACATTACCTCGGCCTTCCCACTTGACCCAGATATGATACAAGATAGCAGTCTTAAAAATATGAGCAAGTATGTACGCTTCTGGGATAAATATTACCATTATCACGACAATCATTCCTGTACTAGACATTCAGATATATAACATCCACCTGACAGCAATTACGTCCATAGATATGTGTGACTCAAACGAACAAAGCATTGCGTAAAGTATAGAGCTAGATGTAGTAATTACTATGCTAGTACCCGGGATATTTAATTGATCATGTAGGCAGCACATTACAAAGTTGAATGATTATGAAATAGTTCTCTTAACCCTTTATGTAACATCCTAACCTTTCTCAGCCTCATAAAAGAAAACTTTCTGGCCTAAGAACTGTCTTAGGGCGTGATCATATAAATAGTTATTTCACAGTCCTACTGACACCACTGGTTTATGAAAATTCAAACCCAGTATATATAGAACAGTAAACCGATATATATAGCAAACTGATCTCCCCCACAATACACACAGCTAAATTTGATCTTACAGCTGTCACTGGGAAAATTAAGCACTAGACACAAAAATATACATTTAGGACAGGGAAAAGAACCAAAAAAAAGCGCTCCAATAAAAAAAAAAGACTGCCTATATTATTTATAAAAAGAGTTATGAATTGCACTATACTCTTGGACACAAAAATAATATATATGTGTGTGTGCCTAAAGAAAGGTACCAAAATTCGGATTTTTACCATAAAATATTTAGAAGTCAAATCAACGAAAACTCTTTGAACACATTGTTAAAAAATGGTGGAACTATCATTTTTTTAATCGAAACACATTTTGGTTAGAAAAAGGGATTTTTTGTCATTATCAGCCTGTAGCTCAAAATGGTCTGTGGCGACTTTTGGTACCTTTCTTTAGGCACACACACATGTATTGTCATGAAGTAACATCTACACTTTTATGTTCACACGTGTCCTTTTAGAGAAAACAAAATTGTAGAAGTTTTTAGGAAAGTAAATTCACCATAAAGTAAGTATATGCATGAATTTTAATGCTGCAAAAAGCATTCCTTTTTTTTCAGCCTCTGAATTTGAAACTTTCAGAACATAAGCAGGTGCATTTTTATCAAAGTTTAAAAGGGAAACAATTTTGGTCCAGCAACACCCCTCCCCGGAAACAAAACTATATTCTTCTCCGTGGAAGTTTGTTATCAGTCATCACTAACGATAGATATTCATCTTCACTGTTGGTCAACTTCCCAATACATTATTCTCTCACCTCTTGTAAACCCTGGAGTGGAAGTGTGTGAAGATAAGAGCCCTCCACTGATTGGTTCATGCTTTCTGCAACAGCCTTGGTAGCTTTGCCCATTTCTGCCTCAATCTTCTTTCTGACCATCGGAATCCTTTTGACCCATTTGAAAAACTCCCTCTTTGCTCTAAAAGACAAGGCTGACGGACAGAAGGAATAATGAAATATGATTATATGATTGAGAGCAACAGGCCAAAATCATTACACTTTGACTTACACAATGATATTACTGATGGCGAGATTTTGACTGTATTAGCTGCAAAGTCCATAAGTCCTAAATTCCAAAAGGGAAATTCCAATGTTTACCATTGGGATGTATTATTATCCAATTTATTATGTGTAGATGTAGTTTTACCCAAAAGAAATGAAATATCAAAAGCTCTAAATTGATATTAATAAAGGTGAGGAAACAAAATCAGTCATTTTTTCTTGGAGTGACCACTTTTGAAAAAGATAAAACTTCACCAGACTCTGACGCCGTGAATATCAGAGCAACTGCTCAATTCATGATATCTTTCTGATGAGGCAAGCAACCAAGATATCATCATTAAAAGATAACAGGACATGGGGAGAAATCAAATCTTAACAACTGACAAGCACCTGATTATTATGTGCACAATCAGTGAGAAAATTCCTGCACATTGTCGAGGGAAGTATCACCAACGTTTATTGAATGGGGGAACAAAACACATTCGAACTACTTACTAATAATACAACGAGCCCCTATAATAGTCCTGCTACCTATTTTCAATTTAATTCAGCAAAAACCTCTGTTGCATCATTGTGACTACATTTAGTCAACCTCTTTTCAAATTATAGGGGAGGGGTGAAAAAATAAAAAGAAACAGCATAGAATTAAATACAAGGCCACAAGGACATTCTGTCATATCATTACAACTTGACAGGTGATATCTATCCAATAAGAGATAACTTGTTAAAACTGGTTCACGTATGATGAAGACTAGAACATAAGAAGCATTCTGTTATTTCATTGATTTCAAGCAGACCAAAAACAAAAAAACCAACAAAATAAGTTAACCTACTTTCATCATCATGGAAAAGGAACTGTTTCAGAAATATGACTGTTGCTGTTGCACTTCCAGTGTACACAACAATTTGCCACGGTTCCAGGTCATCACATAGACGGTTGATCAGTGCTTTCCCCTGACCCATAACATGGTGGACAGGATCCTATAGAAAGAAGCAAAAGACACGCACACTCAAACACGCTATGCAATAAAGATAAAAAGTGGACAAGATAAAAATTCCTTTTTTTTGTAAGTGCTTTACAGCGCTCGCAACTGCAAAAGGTCATATGAGCGCGCGGAACACACCAAACATTTTCAGTTGGTAGAAAATTTTGAATTTTGCCCGCGTAGCGGCCGAAGACTACTCTTATCGATTTTAGACAACCAAGGGATCTTTACATGTGCAACTTGCACACGGGACCTCCGAGATTTTTCGCCCTTGTCCGAGAAGACCAGGTGTAGATCTTTCCTACCAGAAGATCAGAGGTGTGGCTGAAAGACAGCAGTATGAAGGAGCCAAGGAGTAGCAGTAGAAAGGCTGCAGAAAGAGTCAGGAGCCCAAGGGCCAATGTAGGGGGCAAAGGAGGTGATGGGGTGGGGAAAGAAACTGGAGACAAAAGCAGACAATAGAATATAGCAAGAGAGAAGGAAAGAAGGTGAAAGGAGACAAGTTTTTAGAGAAGAAAATTTTACGGTCGCTACCCACACTCGAACCCGGGACCTTTGAATGAGAGGCGAACACCTTAACCTCTAGGCTACGAGAGCCCCTAAAATAACTTTACTTGTGGGGTTGAAATATATATGTGTCACAACGCCCTGGAATCAGGCGCTCGTTAATTTTGGGCATGTGGAGTTATTCGTCCCATTTGAAAGCTGTTTCATATTCTTTGTTTTCAATTAAATAAATATCCATGTATCTGGAATAGAAGTCAAAATATTTGCGATTGAAGGAGATGAAGTTGCCTTGTTTCAGGGGTGAAATTAGCTAAAAAATGGCCACCAAAGTTTAGTAACTTCAATAGCTAAAGAGTCCTTGAAAACTGAAAAATGACAAATTTTGTGCCTTTAATCAACTTTATTTTCAGTAAAATTCACATGGAAAAATGTTTTTGCATGGACATAAAAAGGTGTTGAGGCCCAAAAAATAAAAAGATAAAAATTGCTTCAGTGGCAGAAAAACGCCTGTTTCTCCGATTTCGTTATTTTGACGAGTGCCCGATTTCACCAGGCTGTCAGTCTCATCTCACATATGAATGGCAGGTCTAAGAAAAACAGTCAGTTTCATTTTTTTTTCCCGTTTGAAATGTTAGAGCATCAAAGCAAACTTATTATTTTGCTGTTCATCAAAGGGTTTTTTTACGTTAAGAAAAGTGAAAAGTCCTTAATGTTACTGAGCGTTATCGGTTTCATTGAAGCCAATGGAACAAAATTGAAAGAGCTCTCTCAAAAATACACATTTCCACATCTCCCTCTCATGAAGTAACTGCCAGTTCCTGACCTTGACTACTGACTGCTCAACTTCAAACTAGTGCATGTAATATCTTTAAAAAAATCCATCACAACAACAGTGGCATTGCAGTTCACTATCCACACATGGAACAAAATTAGAAAACTCCAGTCGGAAGGCATTTGATCAAAGTAATCTTAGAAATCAGCTCTCAAATTTTACTTTGCCTCAAAATCAATAATTCATGACAGAAGTGGTTAAAGACTTCATGCCATTGCTGTCGCAAGCAATTCCTCTTTATGTCTGTTTGGGTACTTTTTACGTCAGAGGGGGGAAAAAGGTTTTGTTGCGATTTTCCTATCAGGAATCATGAAAAGCAAGAAAATTGTATGCCTTAACCATAGCATTAAACTGCATTTTGGTGATGTTGAAAGGTGCATCTCTGATAGAACTCAGAGAGGGTATAAAATCAAACATTCTCAAAATTTTGATTTAGGTCGATTTTTGCTCGAGACAGCGACGATGTGATGAGTGAAGGTAAAGATCAAATCCCTGTGGCACTCACTATATCATAATTCTCATTTCCACACTTTATCAAGAACCTACATTAAAGCAGGACCCCCCATTTCTGATTTCCAGTTGGAGCCTATCTTTTGATTTTCAAGATGGCGGGCGCTGGCTCGCAGAAACTTGGCGATGTGTTCTGTTCTTATGAAGAGTTTAAGCTCAAGTTAAATGCTTTCCAAACTGAAATACTTACACAATTTATTATTTGTTCCAAAGATAAATTGAAAAGAAGTGGTTATTCTCATCCCCTCCCTTGTTTTACTGGAAATGACCCAAGAGGGATCAGGGCTGAGGTTGGCTGATGTCCCACAGGATCGTGTTGATGTTCCAACAGACCTATAGATCTAGATCTAGTCACAGTCAGGGTTGTCAAATTGGAGCCAAATCTCAGAAATTTGTCTCTTGGATCGCGTCTGGCCAAGAAAATCTCATTTAGCACTCTGGCTCTGTATTTGGCTCCTAACTCCAAATGTTCAAGAAGAACGAGGCAGAAGAGGCAAGAAAAAAAAAGAAAAAAGAAAAGAAAAATAATGAAGTGAAGAAAAGAGATTGGATTGCTTAATAAAATTATTAAACTAGTTAACACGATTTAACGTGCTCGCCCATTTGGTCTGAATAATTTACAACAACCTTCAACCGTCATGCAAGAGCATACATTTTAATAGTCTCGTGCTTGTGTCTCGTTACGTTCATGAACGCTCTCTGTTCGTTGAACCATAATTTATGGTGTGCAGGCAGAGAGGCCAGCCATCACAAGTGTGTTTGGCCGGTCCCCCATCCCGCTCAGTAACGTCCGTAGTGAGCCTTTTTTTTTTAGTGGAGAGGCGAAAAATGTTTTTACATTATTATTATTCGTTCTCAACCACATGCGGTAAGCCATCAAGGGCCTAGGTGATTCTATTGAGAGGTCAGGGGGAGTCTTCTCATACCCACACCAAGATGGGAGCTATTCTCACCGGGGGGGGGGGAGAACAGCAAGACAAGGAATATTTTCACCCAAGGTGAGAATAAAGTTGGCCAAATTGAATAGTGACACCCCCCCCCCCCCCCCCCCCACTTTTTTCTCCAAGCCACCCACTGCCTTTTTTTTGTTTTAGTAGAGGTTTTACGGCGCTCGCAACTGCATAAGATCATAATATGAGCGCCACGGGGTGGATGTCAACAAAGAAGTCCGTACAGGGAATCAGATTTACTCTGCTCTCATCTCTTGCTTCAACAGCACAAAGTCTGCATTGACTATCAAGGCATCCCCGGAAAACACAGTCACAAGAGACAATGACAATGACAATCTTTATTCCTCTCGAAAGGGAGAAATTTGTCTTGTCGTTAACAATGGCAGTAGACGTTACAAAAGTTAGACTTAAAGGTGCACTCACGCAAACGCACAACAAGACAGGACATTAGGCCACGTAAATACATGTCTCACGTGCTGGGACAACCCGCTCCGTAAAACATTCTCTCTCTCTCGGTTTCATTTGTAGCACTGAGTGTTCAGTAACCTCACTGCAGTTGGTACGAATGAATTTCTATAGGAAGAGGCTAGCCGTACTTCCGTACTTAAGTACGGCTAGACTGGTTGGCTAGCCGTACTTAAGTATGGCTAGACAGCTGGGCTAGCCATACTTATTCTTAATATGATGGCTAGACTGACCATAAAAAAAAATAGGCGTACTGAATTGTAAATATAAATTTATAGTTTGCAGTACCTAAAGTATTTGTATTTGAGACGAAACCAGGTGCCTTAATGACAATGCATGTATTTTAAACCTCCTGTTTTCTAATGTTAATAGGGCCTAAGATAAATGGCTAGCCTGGTAGTCTAGCCGTATACGGCTAGACTTCTTGGCTAGCCATACTTAATGCTGAATTGTAAATGAAATTTTTAGTTTGCAATGCCTAAAGTATTTGTATTTCAGACAAAACCAAAAGGTGCCTTACTGACTTGCATGTATTTGAACCTGAATAATTACTAGATCTAGATCTAATGAGACCTGTGTACTTAACAGATTTGAGTCGATAGGGCCAAACCTAGATCTAAGTACGGCTGGACTGGCAGTCTAGGCGTACTTAAGTACGGCTAGCCACTTCGATTTCTATATCTGTCTGTTCTTGCTTTTTTGGAAATGTATCGTATACTGCGGAGCGATAGTTGAAATTCCGATGTCAGTGGGTGGCTAAGGTCACTAAGCATTATTTCCGCCTTTTTTAGAACGTTTGTCTTGTGCAGATATTGAAAGTTATTTAGGTCTCTACCAATTGTTTTTGATGCCTTTCTTATCAACTTGTTAATTTTTATAATTATTTATGTGCTGCCTTCCCAACTTGCTACCATAGCAAGTGATACCAAAATTTATCAAAGTTTCTATTGTGGTGGAGCAGAAAATCTGAAGGAGGGATGGATTAAGATTGAAAGACTTTAGTTTCATCAGAAAGTACTGCCTCTGATTTACCTTTTTAACGATATTGTTTAAGTGGTTTTGCCATGTAAATTTGTTGTCGATTTGTAAGACCAAGATATTTGTATGAATCCGTGATTTCAATAGTTTCTTGTTCAATTATGAGAGGTGGGATTGTTGGTTTTTCTCTTCTGACATCAAAAATCATTTCCTTCGTTTTTGAGAGGTTCACACATATAAAAGAAGTAGAGGATTTGGTTTAGAAAGCATTTTATGGCACTTGCAACCCAATAAGGTCATAAGTGCCGAAGATTAGAGGTGTTACAAGAGTGTAACAACATCATGAAAAAGAAAGAGGGGACACATATTAGGATGATAGTTGTTTGATAGGAAAGAAGGAGCAAACCACACCAGGCACCTGCCAACCACCCACAAAGACCAGATTATTAACCACAATCACCCCCCCCCCCCCCCCCCCCACTTTTTTCTCCAAGCCACCCACTGCCTTTTTTTTGTTTTAGTAGAGGTTTTACGGCGCTCGCAACTGCATAAGATCATAATATGAGCGCCACGGGGTGGATGTCAACAAAGAAGTCCGTACAGGGAATCAGATTTACTCTGCTCTCATCTCTTGCTTCAACAGCACAAAGTCTGCATTGACTATCAAGGCATCCCCGGAAAACACAGTCACAAGAGACAATGACAATGACAATCTTTATTCCTCTCGAAAGGGAGAAATTTGTCTTGTCGTTAACAATGGCAGTAGACGTTACAAAAGTTAGACTTAAAGGTGCACTCACGCAAACGCACAACAAGACAGGACATTAGGCCACGTAAATACATGTCTC